TTGAACAATTTTAGATGTGTGGCAAATGCCTTAAAAAACCTTTTACAATGTTAAACTCAAGGTCATGGAACTTTTATTTTTTCATAAGCAAAAATATTTTAAATTCCTAAAAGCACAGTGATGTCTACTTTTGTGAAATGAGGATGTGAAATTATTTTGAGGGTGTGTGTTCTGTGTCCTGAGAATTTGTGTTTGTTGAGATTTTGTATGTTATGCTTTACCAATGCTAGTTGCTTGAAACCTCATTTTGAAAATGCTCACAAAGTGCTTGATATTGGCTTTTGAAAAGGTGTCATAAACATGACATAAGCAAAGCTGAACAGAGGGATTTGTCTGTTTTCTGCAAGTTGTTTAGTATGGTTATTATATGGCAGGTTTTAAATTCAAAATAGTTTGCCTGTTGGTCTCGTGGACATGTGGGATAGTTTGCTTGATACCAAAATTCTAAGAATCCTGGAGGAGCTAATGCTAATTTGGTTAAAAATGTCTAACAACAATCCTTAAAAAAAAAAAAGTCTAACAACTAGTGTTAATGTCTCTCCACATCTTTAACACTCACAAAGAGTTTTGTTCATGCATTGAACAACAAAGTTTAGGAACAAACAAATGTATTTTTTGCATTTCCTTTTGTCATTTAATGCTGAATTTAAGTCATGTATTTATTACATACATATTAGAGTTGAGTTGAAAAAAATCACATATTTGTGCAAACCTTAAAGACCAGTCAGCTGCTCTTTTAGAATTGTATCAATTAATTTAGGTTCAAGGGGAGTCCAAATGAAACTTGATCATTTTGTCTGCAGTGAGTGAGCCTCCCGACCGCAACAGTGAAGGAAGCAAACAGACTGCAGTCTGTRAAAAGTTTTTAACACCTATTTCTTTCCTTTCAGTGAAAAAATGAACTGAGGGATAGGCAGATGCTGTATCTTCTTTTGGTAGAGTGTTAGACTGACTTGTAGTTTGCTGGAAACCTAATGAGATTTTTTTCTTCATCAGCAGTAATTTATCTGTTCATTATTGTTTGTGCTGGTTAATGCAGCACCTGCATGTCTTGCATTCAGTGTTAAGCAAGGAGCCTCAGCGATTAGCCATTTTCAAGATAATCTTCTGTTGAATAAACCAAATACTTTTGATGATATTCTTACAAGGAGAGTTAAGACTACATTTTTCTAGCATTTAGGATAATCCCTTTTAAGCAACACAGCTTTTCCAGCCTTTTTTGACAGTTGCAGTTGGTGAGGTTGATGTCAGGACTCCTTTAACTGTCTCAGCACACACACACACGCACGCACACACACACACACACACACACACACACACACACACACACACACAC